ATGCATTAACATTAAAAAGATTTCTTTGCCTCTCTGTGGCACTTAAAACTTCCTATCACTGGGATTAAGGGATTCTAACTGGAGGTAGCATAAAATGTAGTCACGTAACGCAGCTCTGAAATCTAACTGCCTTGGTTCAATGCTAGTCATTCTATAACCATTTGTATCACGTCAGGGATGAGTCACTTAATTTCTAAATACTTCAGTTTCTCCATCTATCAAATGAGAATAATAATAGTGCCCAAATTTCATAAGACGGTTTTAAGAAATTAATTTAGTTCATAAAAGGCTATTATATAGTTAAATGTTAAATGTTAAGTGTTAAATGTTAGTTTATTAAATAGAGTTAAATGTTAGACATTATTGTTATTTTCATCTTGGACAAAAACATACAGTGAGGGATCTGGAACTTGATTTGCTACTTTTGGGGATGCTATAAATTGCCATGAATAAATATCACTAATCCCATTCTACTACTAAAATGACTCAAGTAAAGGAAGATCAAGTGACTAGTTTGAGTATCTTTACAAAATTAATATGGAATTAAAACTCAACAAAGAATCTCCAAAGCTTTCTTGGGCTTCTCTCAAGGGAATGTTTTTTACAAATCTTGACAGTTATACTAAATGGCACACTGATAGGCTTTTCAAATGAGTTCAAAGTGCTTCACCCACCTTGATGTTCACAGGACCATTAATCAATATTTACCAAGCACCTATAGGATATGTGGGATGATTGTCTGGCTCTAATGTGAAATTTCCTGAACTTTGTAGACAGAGAAACAAAATCAAAACAAGACTGTTACCTCCAAAACCACAGGAAGGGTCAATATTAACAAAGAAGTATTGATTCCTGCTACTACAAGCCTAGTGCTGAGGCTCTGTTCCTTAAACAGCACATTATCACCTTGCATTTTTAGTTTTTAAAGACCCTTACTTCATTATCTCATCTGTTTTTCTTTACCTCCCGATGGTTATATAGCATATTCATACAGTTCTAGGAATCAAAGTAATCAAAAGTAAGCAGTGAACTTTATTCCAAGCAGGGCTAGGATCTGTTCATAAGATAGCATGATAAAAAATACCACTTACTACTGAAGCTAGAAATTGGAGTATAGGATATACAGGTAGCATATAACTTTCATAATCGTTACATTTTTTAAAAAGAAATGATGATCATCTTTTGATTCTCTGGAGTAAAAAATTACTTTTATTAATACTACCAATGCATTTTTTAATTAACCTGTCTTTTAATCTTAATATTAAGAGGTCAAAGAAAAATTTTCTTTATAAGCTCATTGTCTTCATGGGTATAGTAAGATATAGGTCATTAACATTAGTAACTTGAAAAATCATCTTTCTCTCATGTCATGTCCCTGATAAAGACAAGAGTTTCATAAATATAAAATAGATCAATTCTATTGCAAACCAAAAATGGTTGGAAGTTTATTGGCTATTTAAATTTCCCTAATCTCTTTTTAAGGGTAAGCATCTGGAGAATATCTTTTTGCTCACCACTCTCAACAAACATGTCAAAATAATCTCCCATACTACCTACAATTTTAAAAGCTGCAAAATCTACCCATATCCATTATGCATATGTACCTTTACGAGTACAAGGTTTGGACACTTTGTGGCAAAAGCTAAGAGATTGCAAGAGTCAGATGTTATGGTCTGATAATCATTCCAAAAATTCATGCTCTATTAAACTAGATCCAACAGAGAATCCTCAGCCCACCAAACCTATACCAAAGGTCATATGTCTTCTGCAAGATATTCTCCAAGGATATAGTTTTCAATAAAGATGTTTATCAATATTAAAAAATACATATTTTTTTAAAAAACCCTATTAGTGCAAGTCAAGAAACGGCTAGTCTTCTGATCAATTTCTAGGTAACTAAGCAGATAGACCCAGGTTTTCCAGGTTTTGGTCTTGGCTCAGATACTAGCTTGAGTGAAGCAAGGCACCTTTTTAACTCTTGTGGATCTTAATTCCCTTCTTGGTGAATCGAGAATTTGTGAGATGACATCAAGTTCTCTTCCAAATACACAATTTTGTATATCTTATGTTGTGATAGTGTTACTTTTAAGCTCTATGAAGTTTACAAGGAATCGCATGCGCACAGTTTCATTTGATCCTCAAAACTGATATTCAGAAGTAGGTGGAGGAGTTAGCATTGCTCTTCTTTTTACCAGCAAGTGGGCTACTTTTGATATCCAATAGGATTTACTAGAGATAGTAGAACCTAAAGCATCTTCCAAAAAGATTTCATTTTCAGGAGTCAGAATGAATACTCCATAAAAATTTTTTTTCAAACCTGTCAAAGCCTTACCTAAACAAAAAATCTTTAAAAACAAAGAAAAAATGTCATACTATGTGCTTCTGCTGCTGCAGTCCCCAACTGAGGACATCACGCTGCTTTTAGGTTGAAAATTAAATTTAGTTGCCACTTGATAAATATCTTTTGAGTGAGGATGGGTTTCCTTGAGGAAATTTTAAAGGAGTACCAGGACTTAGGTAAAATTGGGTTTGGGGGTTTTATTTTTGGAGCTCATTCCTGTAAAACATTTTTATATAAACTGGAAATTAACCAGTAAAATAGTTTACAAAGAGGAGAATAGGGAGCCTTTTATTACTGAAAAGAAATATTCTGAATCCAGAGTGGAATCCTGAGTAGCTCTGATGCCTTGTCAGCTCCTTTACTATATAGGAAGACAAAGAAAGAAGTTCTCAAAAATATGTCTCATAGTTTACAGTTAATAAAATACAGATAAAATTTGAGCCTTGCAAGCAATCCTGTAAAGCCAAAAGGGTTTTCTCAACCAAGCTCCCAATTATTCTTCATCTCAGAGGTCAAGGGATTTCCTGAATAACTAAGATCCACAGGTTATTGATAGACTCATTTTAGCTATTCTATTTGACCTCTTTCCTTGTCAAAACCATTTTGATTGAGAGGTGAAAGATAGAAATAGTATACTACGTGTTTCTGCTCTCTTTCCTTCTCTCTCCCCATGCTTACCTATACCCTTTCTGGAAGTGTACAGCATATAGCCAAAGAATGGGGACTGCAGCAAGGAAGGAGGGGAAACAAGGTGCCTCAATTATCTCACCACATAATTACCAGCTAGCTATCCAATGTCATAAATAATAAAGTCCATATTCGAAACAGAGCAAGCAGACTGTAAAGACTTGATTTCACAAAATTTTGTCAGTTTGAGTTTTAATTCATAACAACAGCTCATATGGCTATTGTAATCCATATTTAAGAATATGAAACAAAGTATAAGAACATATGTTTTTGTCTTGATGTAGATATGTTCTATCCTTTCTATTGACATTTAGTAATTCACATACGATATAAGGAAAAATTCTCAAGCCGAACTCTTAACGAACCAAAATAGCGTTCCCTTTCTGCCCAGGCAAAAAAGCAGAGTCTGATACACATTTGGCATCAGAATATTCTATTTATAATATCTTGGATTTTAATCTTTTGGGATATGTGCCTTTTCACTATGCAAGTTCCCAAAGGCTCTCACACCGTTAAGTCATTTTCCCGAAAGTTCTTTATTTTCTCAATTTGGAATACTGCCTTCATATATGTTTGGAAGTTGGGCTAATTTTATTTATTTATTTAAGACTGTATTTATTTATTTGAAAGAGAGAGAGCATGAGTGAGGGTGGGGAGATTGACAGAGGGAGAGGGAGAAGCAGGCTCCCTGCAAGCAGTGAGCCCCAGGACACAGGGCTCTGCCCCAGGACCCCAGGATCATGACCTGAGCTGAAGGCAGACACTTAACCAACTGAGCCACCCAGGCGCCCCTGGAAGTTGAATTAATTTTCATTTCCCCTTCAAACAAGTGGAAAACTACATGCCTTCCAACAGTTGACTGACCCCCTGACCTTTGTGAAAACATGAATTATTCAATATATACCTAATGAAAAGTAATTTCCATGTTGTAGTTAGAATCAAGTGATATTGTAATGAGTATAATTTTGAATAGAAATGAAACAATCCATAAGCATGACAGTGGGTCAATCAAGAATAAAGTATTCTAATGCCAAGTGTCACAAAACATAGAAAAACCCTCGATTCATTAGTTTTACCAATTCACAGCTACAGCTCTCAAAACCAAATTAACCTTTTCTACCTCAAAAGAATTCATAGTCCTTAAATATGAGTGTCCAAAATTATGTGACACCAGACACCAACATTAGATCTGATTTGATGTCATTTCTCTAATCAATAAAAAAAAAAACCAAGACAGCATTCCTGTTATTCACCCCAACCTGTCAGCAGCAAGCTTAAAGCATGGAAAAACAGATTTCTCATTCACTTTTCTATCCACAGATTTTCCTATCCATACAGTTTATGAGTATCTCTAAGAACAACTGAGGAAATGGGTTTGTGATAAACTCATGCACATTTTAAAGCTTACAGCAATTAGAAGTTTATGAATATGGTAGCCTTTCACTTATATAGAAAGCCAAATATGAAAGAGACTTTCATTACATTTCAACTTGCAACTTCCTAATAATTATTAATGCCACTTTCTATTTCAGTGGAGAAATACAGTTGTCAAGCTATGGTTATTTAGAGTAAGATCCAAGCATAATCATATGAATTTTATGGATGTTTCACCTTTAATCAAGATCAAAGAGCAGCAGAAAGGGGGAAAAAAGGAAGCTGGTACTTACTATTTAATTCTTAAAAAGAAAAGAAAAGAAAAACTAAAATGTTATAAAATTACTAGAACCTTTCCGCTTCTCAGGTATTGCATTTTTTTTATTAAAATAACTATTATAAAGGAACTATCAATCTATTCAATTAAGTATCTCACAAATGGATTGTACTGTAAGTTTAAAATGACTTGCGTTAGAATCTCAAATGCCACCTTCAAATACCTGTGAGGAGGCATTTTCTGAAGCATAATCATATGAAAACTGCCACGTTCATTCTAGGCTGTGCCAATGCAATGAGCAAACCAAAATATGGAACTTACCTTATTATAAACAAATGGCAAATTGCAGGCACTTTTGAGCTTGCAGGTGTCTAGCATCGTTGATTAGAAATAAACAAAACATCTTTCATCCCAGTGAGCAAACTGCATATTCAGACTTGGCTTTCTTCCCTGAATCCTTTCAAGAGAGGCTGTTCACCTCCAAGGGCTAGTAACAGTCTCTTCACAGAGCACTTGCTGCTCTGAACTGCAGCCACTTAGAATGAAAGTAAGAGGAACCCGTGATGCTTAAATACCGTAGCTTCACATTCACAGGATATGACTCAACTCTCTCTCACACCAGTCGGGGTGTTCCCCCTCCCAAAACTGTTAGATTACATAACAAACATCACATTTGGGGTTCGAACCAGTTTGCAAACTCAAATGTAAACACTGCACCCATTAAAATCAAATGTGTGTTTTTAAAATAATCACCTCTTCCCTATGGCACAAGCCACAGATGGAAAGGAGAACAAGGTGGCACAGAGAAAACTCTTCTGCTTTCTCTCTGCAGTGAATCAACATCAAGTTATTAAATGTGTGTCAACTTGCTGGCATCGCCCTGAAAGAAGCACGCTAAAGTCACTAGCAATCCCTGTGGTTCATCAACTCTGTGTAGACCCAAACTCTTATCTCAATGTGCAAGAAATGGCAGTTCTACACAACACAACAGAATCTCCTTCATGAAGTAGGGAATGGAAATAGATCTTTGTGGTGTGCTGTTGCTGATTCCCACAGAAATCCTGTCCCACGCTGTCATTACCTGGCGATGCTTGCTCTGCCTACCTCTCCAACTCAGAGCCCTCCTTTATCTGTTTCGTGAACATTTCTAAAGGAACATGACTAATGACACAACTCCTTTAGTAAATGTGGCAATTTTCTTTGCTTTCTCCGCCACCCACTGCCTCTTAACTCTGAGCTGTGTTAAGCTTGATCACACATTGAATTATTATATTTATACACCTCAGTCAATGAATATTACAGACTTGATCCTTGGAGAAAATCTACTACAAAAATTCAATTGCCATCGGCATGATCAAGGACAAAAAGATGAGAAAGTGTATGTCATTTATAGCAAATTGAAACCACCTAGACTAGGACTGTTCAGTAGACATATAAGGTAAGCCACATGGGTAATTTTAAACTCTTTAATGTGGTCACATTAAAAAAGAGAAATATGCAAAATTAGTTTTAATAATGCTTACCCAATGTATCTAAAATATTACAATTTCATTGCATAACTGACATAAAAATTATTAATTATCTTATAATTTTTGTACTACTCTTAGGGATCTGATGTACGCTACTCTTAGGGATCCGATGTAAGTTTTACATTTATAGCACATTTTAATTCAAAGTAGCTATCATCGAGTGCTCAATTGCCATATGTGGCTAGTGGCTACTGTATCTGCAGTATAGGTCTGGAGTTTGGGATTCACTTTTCATCCTCAATTTGCAGTTCAAACATTCTCTCTTTAGAAAGGTCTTCCCTTACCACCTTAGCTGAGATAACTTTCCCCAATTATTTTCCATCTCATGATCCTTTTCATTTCCTTCATAGTGCATCACAGCCTGGAATTTTCTCCTTTATTGGTTCATTTACTTATTTATGGTCCGTGGTCCCTAACAATAATGTAAGAAATCTGAGGGCAGAGATCTTGTAGTCAATATTTTATCGCCAGCCTCTGGCATGGTGCTGAATATATAGTGGAATTTAATAAACACTATTTAGTAAATAAATAAACAAATTTAGAATTTAGGCTAATATTCGGCAAATAATACAATATTTAAAAAGGTGTTCTAAGACAAGGTATTTATCATAGAAAAGATATAACCTATCATATCACTGAACTTTCACAGCAAATATATTAAGACTTTTCCTAAATTGGAAAAATTACGTCTTTCTCTTTCTCTTTCTCTTAACATTACGTAATGTTAACGATCTTCAGTCTATTACATGCTTTATTTTCATATACAATAGTATTTGTTTCATTATTCTAGTAAATTTTTGGAAACATACTTATATGAATACTCTGGGTCCTTATAAGATAAACCTATACACCATTAGGATGCCTATTCATCTCCTACTCATGAAAACATAAAACATTATAAGACATTTGTAGGAGACATTGATATATTTGCCTGACTGGTATATGTGCCTCCTTCTTCTGATATCATCATTCTGATTTTCATTTGACAAGTCACCCATCCATCCCTCCATCCCAATTGGTACTGCTGACCAGGTCCCAGAAGTGGGCATGTGACCCAGGCATGACCAACTAGTGTATACTATCTATAGAGTTACAGTGATAGGGTCAAGGATGGGCACATAACCCAAGCTGGTACAGTGACAGTCAACACTCTACTTTTGCAGATAATATGAAAGAGGTTGTTCAGTTTACAGATCATAAACCTAGAACTGCTGGTTGACATATGTGCTACCACATCAGGTGAGTTGTCTAAAAATGAAGCTAATCAAGAGAAAAACAAAGTCAAAGATGTGAAGGGCAGATTCCTGATGCTGTTGTGGTTCCTAGATCTGGCCACTCCATTAAGTCACATTTGCTCTCTGTTATAGTGATGGATGCACTAGAACATTCACTGCAGAATTGTTTTTCATAGTGAAAAAATGGAAACTTTGCAATGGGCCATGAACAGCAGAAGGATTAAATAAACAATGGGTTCGCCATACTAAGGAATATTATGAAGTTATTAAAAAGAACCAGGCTATCTAGATCCACCACCCTGTAAGACTCCCTAAAAAATATTAAATAGAAAGGACACGTTGCAGAAATGTACATTATCTCAGTTATGGGAATATAGATTTTTACATGCAAATTCACAGAAAGGAATCTGGATGGATTATGCACCAATTTTGGACAAGTCATTATATCTGGGAAGGAGGTTTGAAATAAGGAAGTGATCCAATCTTTTTGCTCAGTGTGTTATCCATTTCATAAATCTTACAAAAATAAATTCACATATTCTGTAGAAAATTTGAAAAGAACATGTTATTTTTAAAACAGAATCACAATTTGATATTTTATAAGCCTATATTTTACTATATTATTCTCACTCTAAGTGGACTACTCTATTATTATTTTTAAAACACTGTAGCAAATAGGAAAGTGCTCTTCTCTCCTTCCATCTTTTGATATTTATTACTTTTAAATATATGATTTTTTAAATTTAAAAGTCTACTTTTTTCAGTTATTTATCTCTATTTCTTGGGTCAGAAATATGGAGACTAGTAAGTGTTCCTCAGTCATTACTCCTGAAGCATTCCCAGCAATAGTATCAGATTGCGTATCTAAAGGGGAACTTAGAAGAACTCCTAATTCTAATGGGCACTTTAGTTCAGCATTTATGGAGCATCTGCTGGGTGCCTGTGTTGTGTTAGAAAGCATACACAAGAAGTCCCACATAACCAAGAGATATACAGTCTAAGTGAGAAAAAAACTTGTAAGCAAATGATGATGATGATGATGATGATGATGAAATGAAGAAGTAACGGTGTTCTGGAAACTGTGCTAATTCATTATTTAATAGTAGTTTAAATAACATGGAGTAAATGTTACTGTAAGAGATATATATAAGGTCTTTCCAAAGCAGAGAGAAGAGAATATGCTATCACATTGTACCCCAAAGATCAATCAATACATAAAGTGGTCATATTTGAGGGAGTATGGACCTGAGAGATATAGCAAGAACTAGACCTGATATTTCTATTTTCCCAATCGGATCACATGTAAATTAATTCTAATACAGTTAGAAGACTAATAGCAATTAAAAGCTGGGCTATTTGTTTGAAAAAGATGCTTCCTTGGAAAATTTCATTTTTACAGTTAGTGATTTGATCACATAATGATACCGCCTCCATTCATTAGAGACAAAGTTAAAAAAAACAAAGCCCAGTAGTTCTTAGGAATCCTAGGAAGTGGCACATCTCTTTGTATCAGATTATTAATAATTTATAACACTAAAGTTAGAAATAAGCTCTTGTTCCTTGAAGAAATCCACTGGTGAACAAATTTTGTTTAGGCATCCAAATGTACTTTGTTTGCAAATACTAATGTTCACATTCTGTTTCTCTCTTTGGAGGTAATATCTATGGCCTTTACAAAAAAGTACAGAATATGAGAGTACTTAATATTCTTCACCCAGGAGGAAGAAAAGACCGTTAAGCTAGAAAGACAAAAGGGTGGCCTGCAGCATCCCGTATTTCCTAAGGAATGATTAAGGGTATCCCACTTCCTTGAAGCTATGAGTTTTACATCACTGTAACCCAACAGGGCTTACAAACTAAAATGTGGTTTCAGTACTTGGGAGTGACAGTGAAATGAATCTGGAAATGAGAAAATAAGACTGCTGTCTGAGAATTAAATGAGAAAAGGAAAACTACAGTAATTCAGAGCATAGCTAAATGAAGGCAACGTTAATAGTCAAAATGAAGCAAATGCATGCCTAGAGGCATGTGTGGAACCAGCAGGTAACGCAGATCAAGGCCAGGGATCTGGGGGAGGAGGAGCACAGTGGCTGAATAAAGGGCAGACCTCAAGCCTCGTCCAAAGGGGACAGTTTCCGCTCAGTCTCAGAGGACTGATGTGATGTCCAGGAGGGCCAGGCCTTCTTCCAGAGAGGCTAGAGCTCTGGATGGTTATGTGAATACTCCTGATTTCTAAATCTTACCCTCCATACTATATAAGAGAAAAACAAAAGCTTGGGAAGACCAGCTGTGCCTCATGGACAGTCAATCTCAGACCCTCAGGCATGGCAATAATCTGAGCATACTAGCTCTATTAACAGAGCCTATTGACAGAGTCCAGACCAATACACACACACACACACACACACACACACACACACACACACAAAGCAGTCTCAGAAGCAAGCACAAGTAATGGCTGTTCAAACACTGGGAAAGGGTGCTCTGGATGGGGGGGCATATCCATTCCTCCTGTGGATCTCCCCCTCTAATTCCATGAAATCTCAGTCTAGGAATTAACTGCCCTTCTGATTCCATGCTCCTCAAGCTGCTTTCTGAATAGAATGTGGTATCCTGTTGGCATGCCTTCCAGGAGAACTTGCTGGAAACCCGAGGGACTTGAGGGGCAACTCAGTAGTTATGTCCTCATTACAAATTAATAAACTGATAGCCTGGTTAGAGAGGTGGCCTGGCCTGTCTACAAGCACAAACAGGCTG